TTTCGAAATTACGATACGGCAACGCGGATTACAGCATACCAATTTTAGGATTCGTAGCAAAATCGGATCTACGACGGATTACAGCATAGGGGTGATAAAGTAATACATTACATTATATTGGCATAGATTTACAAAATTCAAACAACTTTCTTTTAAACTCATTGATGTTTTTACATTGCTTGACAGTATTTGGTAATTCATTATAACTTTTAAGACCCTTGTAATAAAGATTACATTTATCAGATTTGCTCTTTAACATGGGTAAATTGAAGTCATTTTTCTTACGTGTATCTTTGTTGTGCACATTGCTGCCATACTTTAAGTTAATCTTTAGGTATTCTGGTAAATTATCTTCAATAATGTTTTTAACAAATTTCATCGTATAATAAAAGTGCTGTTGTTTCACACTTAGCCAACCAAGGGCTGATAACATGTCTCTAATGGGCGCGTCATATCGTTTTCGAAGAATGAATCTCATTGCTTGGTTCTGTTGTTTCTGCAATTTATAAATTTGGCTATCATTCATTATGAAGAAAATTGTTGGACAATAATTGAGGAGAGGTTTTATTATTGATCCATATACCATTATTTTATATTTCCTTTTCAGTAATTTGCAAGTACGCCGCATAAAGTACATTTTTTTTGCTATTTTGCTTACGGTATAGTCAATATGATCATTGAACTGTAGCTTCTCATCAATTTTTATACCCAAGTACGTAAAGCTCCGCACCCTTTCTATTTTTTGTTGGTTTATGTTTAAATTACGAAGTTCATGCATATCAATATTTCTTCTGGAAATGACCATGTATTTGGTTTTACTTACATTTATTTTAAGTTTGTTTAAACATTGCCAATTATATATTTTATTTAAGTCATCTTGTAGTTTTGAATCAATATCAGTAATATGGTCACCACTTAACATGATTAACGTGTCATCAGCGAAAAGATTAATATCACAATATTTAATACCGTTGGCAATATCATTTATGTATATATTAAATATTTGTTTATTTATGTATATAAAAATAAAATTTCGGTTGCTCTTAATTTAGTGGAAACATAATTATAAGAATGAAATCCTTAGCCGCGGCGTTATTGCTTGAAGGGGAGAACGAGTCCCAGATTGCTGATGCGGAAGTTGAAAGGCGGAGGTTTAGGGACATGTTTGATCATTTTCAGATGAGTGAAGAGTCATAAGAAATTCATCTTGTACTCTATTACTCATCGTTTAAAGTCAGTGAAATTATTCGTTGTTTGAGCACTCCAAAACATTTGCATTTACTACAGAGTGGAAGATTCGAACGTAAATGAATCCCGTTTTGAAAGCCGTCAGGAGGAGGGGAAGAACAAAGCTTATCTTTCCATAGCAAATCGAATTCGAGACAACATACGCACCTCTTTTTATAAGTTAGTAAAAACGAGTGCAATAATAAAAGCATCTTTTTTTATGTAACTTCACATTTTATGTATGTATGTATCTATGTGCATACATCGATTAATTTTATATAAAAAGAATAAATTGTATTCAGTGCATTTCACAGTCTTATTTATAGATAATGTAAACAAAAACGCCTGGACTTCCACTTTGAAAACGTCGCGCAATATACCTTTTGGTTGCCATTATTTGAGCCAATTTTTCGTATTGCCCGTATTACCGCTCGCGAAAACACAGAAATCGAGAAAATTCATTTATGATGACTTTTACAATCATGCATAGTATATTTTAGTTAAATTTCTTATAAAATTTAATTTTTTTAAACCCACGAAAATAACAATTGAAACGTTCTCCGTCAACAAATTTGCAACTTAGAAAAACGGAACTACGATCGAAATGTAGAATAGGTATAATCGTAAATTTCGAAGATTGATCGAAAGGAAACGGAACGCAGAATACCAAAGTTGCCAAACGGAGAAAATTTCGATTCGAG